GCAAAATAATTGTAACGTTAAAAAATAGTTAAAATAAATAATAATAATAATTATAGTAAATAATTAAAATAAATAATAATAATTATATAAAAAAAAATTAAAAAAAATTAAGCCAACCAGGATCTTATTTTAATCAGATTGGCTGATCTGCCGCCTTTTATTATTCAAATTCCTCAAAGCACATCTTTCTTGATATTCGAAGATTTATATTTTTGGTACAATTTAAGATACTCTTATACCAACATTACGTTTTAAATTAATTCTTGACTGAGGGATTACTAAGTGTTATAGCACAATATAATAAAAACTAAGATGTGAAATTCCCCAAACCCTGGTGTGATATTATCACATGTTTCATTCGTTTGTTCATACATTCTCTATTTTTGAACCACATGCCCCGAACTACAATTATACATTAAATTATGTTTTAATTTCCACAGGAGACGGGAAGGTGATGATTATTCTAGTGATGATTCATACGCACGTGGGAAACAGGATTTTTATGACCTTCCCGAGGAGAAACGACGCTCCATGGTGAAGTATGGTAAAGGAAGTAGTCGTGGACTGAGTCCAATCGACATGAAGGACGGGTAAGTACGGATTACTACGGTATGTTTACTATGTAAATAAATGAAGAAAGAGCCGTGATACTTTCAAGTTTTTTACTACATCGTGGTGTCTAACAATTATCTTACATGCACACTTTTTTAAAGTAAACGAAGAGGAAAGAAGAAAGGAAAGGGAGGGATTGAGGAAGATGATTCTGATGACTCGGGTAAGTACTAAAATGGATCAATTATTTCTATTGGATTCAAAATTAACAAGGAATTATTTGAAAAATGCAAACAAAAATGTGCTAATTGCTTTGAGTTGGGAATGAGGGGTTAAGGCTAGCAAATGTGTCTGTATTCTTGTTATCTTTGTTTTATCGCTATGTTATCGCGAGGGTATCTTTTTCTAAATGTAACGTTCGATCAGATAAATTTGTCTTGATCTGTATTTTAGGAACCGAGGTTGAGGTAACTACATCAGATGGAAAGAAAATAAAAATGAAGAAAGGTCTAATCAAGAAACTAACACGGGAGGGGAAATTAGACGCGAAGGGAAAGATAAAACACAAGATACGACTGAAAGCCGATGGAACGTTGGCAAGAGACAGTGATAGCGATGCTGAAAGCGTGACCCTGGATGCAGAGACAGTGACAAAGATACAAAGCCAAAGTGGGCCATTTAAAATTAAGACGTTACTTAACAATGAATGGAGTGGATTTGCCAAGACACCTGAACCACCTAAGACGCCTACCGATGGAGGAAAAATTAAACGTAAGTACGCATGCGCGCACATGCCAGGACTGGCCAATCTAAAATAATAGTATAGTTCACCATACCAGTTTTGAGTTATATGACTATCTTGTGTCGTTTCTCGTTTTTAGTTACTGGGATCCGCAAAGTTCAAGCCGCGTTCCGCAAGGACCAAGGACGTTTACAAACACACTTACAAAAAGTTTTAGAATCTGCCTCAGATTTACGGGACACCGACACAAGGGGAGCAGTGGACGAGAAAGGTGAGGAAGTTAATGGTTTATTTGCAGACTGTCACGTCACAATTGTGTCGTCCATTATAATAATTCGAAGCACAGTACCACGGTAAACAATATCAAACAAGCAATTCAGCAGTTCATAGTTCAAATAAAACCAGTTTTGCTACTGACGAGCTGATTCATAAATGGTCAGTTATTTTTTTATTTTATTTTTTCAGATTCCTCCATCGATTTTCTTTCACATTATCGCCTCATAGAGGAGTTCAAAGTTGAACCATTTGCTAGAGCGTTTGTGATTGAAGATAGCAATGAAGATCTGATCTTGGATACATCGGTAGGTAAACTAATTTTCAGGGAGGGCGCTGTGACATGGCGCATTTCACGTATATCTAAAAGTAGCCGGATAGCTCTAAGCTTATTATTACACAATTCCTATTCCGGATTTCATTATTTTTATTTCACATCTCTAGGAACTGAAAATTGCTTTAGATGGCATTCCATCCACACAGGACGTCAAAGAGAAACAGATAGACTATGCATTAAAAGTAAGAGATAACACAGCAACAATACACATTCCATGTGCGGTGCGCTCTCTGGCGGCCGAAGCACTTCTATGGCATAAATGGGGTGACAGATCTACCACAGAGTTTATAGTCACACATCATTTTTAGGGATTTGCGATATTTTAAATACCTAACGACTACACAACCAGGCACAGTTTTTCTACTATCATTATAACAACACAGTTTTTATCGTTGAACGGCGTATTGATGGACGAATCGGGGGATAGGACGCTGCCGCATTAAATCGATTAGTGTATGTGTACACGACACGTGGTATAATATAGTGATGATATTTAGTGTATTTTAAATGCGGATTTAAATTTGGCCTAGGATATATAAATCAACCCTTCACGGCTAAAATGTTAGTGAAAACATTTTGATGTATTTTTCGTTTTTAAAGTTGGATCATTTACACGTCTGTTATGTTGCCTACAGGTATTTGTAACAATTTGTATATAAACAAAATGGAAAACATGTGTTTGTTGTGTTTATTTGGTAACACGTGATAAAAGTTGACCCTTTCTCTCTCCAAGCATTAAATACATGTGTTTATATTCATGTAGGTACTCGATATCGATGGACACAGTAAAATATCATTTAAAATGTTTGCAATTGTAGCTGCAGTAATGGAACGAATATGTAACATGGAGTAAGTAAATTATGAACAAACGAGCAAAACATCAAAAACCACACGTTTCAGTGTCTCTTGCTCGGTTTCAAATATTATTACATCAAACCGGTACCTTTCCGTGAAGTTGAATTTCTTATGGCTAGCCGAGTTGGATATGTCGCACCGTCATCTGAAAAAAGACGTGAGTTCGAAACATTACCGGGGTAATTGGCAGCTCTATGCAAGATCGTCATTATAATGGTTCTAATAACGAGTAAACAAATAACACATATTTTAAAGGGTTTATTATTGACACTTGAATTAATGAGGTCGATTTGAGACATGGTGTATATAATTATAATACCCATATTATAAAGAACATAAAATACCAGATATTTTTATAATATTTATCCACTTGCTTTCCAGACCATATGACAAGAATCTGATAGATCAAACAAACCTAATGGATATTGAACGAAAGATGGCGCTATACAAGGTAAGGAATTATAATGATGGGACGTCATTGTTATAATATGGGTGAAAAAAAAATTTGTAGTTGTGGCATTGAAACATGATGATGTCCATGTTAATGTGTCGCATTTTTGTTCTTCAACACCAGGCCATGTTTTACTGCAATGTAAATTCTGACAGAAGTCCAAACTATATCACAGCCGAATCCTTGCGCATAGAGTTAATAGCAGGTGGACTGAATCGTGCACAAGAAGAGTACATTATGTCAAAAATGAAACCCAATGAATTTAGGGAGGTAAGTGTGAGAAGGTAATTTAGTTTATGTGTATGCGTGGTGGTGTTTGGTACAGTCCAAGCTGTATATACGACCAAGGCATACCCTGGTAATCTGGCTACATTCCGTGGTAGGACCCCTCCAGAATGATGGACTACTGGTCTGGTTGCGAGGCACTCCATTATGTGCCGCTCCGTCGACCATACTCAATATAATTCGTTCACAGTCTTGTCTCAGTGTTTTTCCGATAATGATGCTCACTCCCAGGTTCGTCAATATTGATTCATTAGTCAAGTGTATTACTATATTATTTTGTCTTGTTTCAGATTAATTTCATCGACTATATGACGTATATCCCACTATTTATGTCCATGCATGAAAACATTATGAATAACCCACTAGACCGATCCTTCAAATATCTTCACAAACGGGATGATTATTTACAACGCGACCAGGTACCGTTAGGATTGCCAATGAAAAGAGAATTCTTAGCATTGCCACGAAACGTATTCCCTGTCGGTGGTGCCACAGAAAGTGCCCAGAGCAGAGATTTTGTAGAAAGTGGTGAACTCATCGGAAAGCCGGTCAAAAAGTAAGCTAGGTCACTTTCGTCTTCTTCTCGGACATCTGTATTCAGTACGAATTATAAACGACATCGTATTGTGTCATGGACACGGGGTCTATCCTTGTGCATTTAAAATTCCATATACAGCACAATTTCAGTTAATATTATGGTCATCATTTAGGACTTGTACTATGCAAAATTCTGCCATATACACTCATTCATGAAAGAGATACAACTTTACTTATATCGTGATATATACGGGTAAATCGCGTCTATATATGCTCGCATGGTGTTATAATTTTAAAAATTTGTTGTACTTGAATTAAATTTCATTTATACATTCAAAATTTCAAGCTATTTACAAATTCGACACAACCCACATTTTTACCACGTGAATATCACATTGTTTCTTTGCAGGCTTCCCAGTATACGTTCTCGTCAGGGATCACCAAAACGAAAGAAGTCGCGGATGTTTCTGTCACTGGACTGAAAATGTAAAGTTTTAAACTGACTCGGAGATTGGCCAGTGTGCAATTCACCTTTCCGTCCATGTCTATAAATAAAAGGTGCTATGCAAGAGCCGAGATTTTATTTGCATATTTCTGTTGATAAGGATTAAATTTGCCAAAACGTGACAGAAGACACATTGATGCTAACACTTTTCATACGTGTGACTGATTAAATCTGGTAATACGATCAGTATATTCCCGAAAATCAGTTTTTTTCCGTCATAATTTGTATTTTCTATTCATAGAGCAAGGGTAATATACAGAATACGTGTGTGTTTTATTCGAATTGACTGCGACCCCTCCACTTTTACTTACGTTTATAATTTATATTAATTTGTATTATATTTACGAACACTACATTCTTTCAGTTTTCATCTTGTTTTGTAGCTTGTTATAAATGTTGCCCTCGTAAATTGGTTAGAATGAATGTGGCTATCGATAGTTGATGTTCTGAGGGATTGTTCGCCAGTGATGAAGTCTGAAGTATTACAGTTTAGCTTCATATCAATTTGTACAATGTTTTCTACTAATATTCCCTTGAGTGTGTTTAGCTAAAGCTGACTTCAGTAAATGACGGGTTGGACAGGGGTACATGATTTTGTTCGATTTTGCGGATTCAATATATTTTATCGCCAAGAATAAATTGTTTTCACAGACGTTATTATATATTTGTAAATATAATGCAAAAACGATTCACAAATCAGCGTCCTTACTAAAGTCGTTATGATCATGAAGTCGTTGTAACGGGTGCTACAATAAAAAATATACACATTTTATTCAATTTTAATGTTGATATTTTATTTCCATCTTTTAATATTCTTTTTAGCAGTGGCCTCCCGGTTCCCTTCATGGAATCTGGTTGATGATAGGAATCAACATATTTATCATAATACTGCTGTGAACTCAGTTGACATGCATAACAAACAACACAGGTTCCCTTGTTTATTCTATTACCTTGTACAACTTGGAAAAAATATACATATATAAATATAGATATTCTAATTCTAAAAATGTGAAAGAGCTCGTTTATTTTAGTAATTGTCGCCATTTTCCACGTACTCTCCAGTCTGTTATGTAGGTTTCACGCGACTATTACAAATTACGTTCTGTCGAGCATATGACCCAACCCATAACCAAACTTTCGATCTTACTAGATTCCGGTGGTTTCAGCAGAAATGTGTTGAGATGCCAACCACGATTTAGGTAAATTTGTATTCAGAATTCAGTGAATAGGGGTGTTTTTAATTTTGCAGAACACTCAAGTCCCCTTTCCACCGTCAATTCACCAACTTCCCGGTTAGTTGAACAATAACTGTAAGGCTCGAAATTTGTTTTAAAAATATCTCACAATCAAGAAGTGTATACTAAGTATATATGTACCAAGAAATACACGTAAGTTTCAGGTAGGTACGACCACACGTCCCGTAGCAGGACAGTAATTAAAGAAGTTTGGAATGGTTCATATTTTTATCCAGCATAATATGCGCTGTGTCGGAGTATACTACACATTGTGTTTGATCAGAAGTTTATGATTCCGACACTTTTGTGAAATGAGCGTTTTGTAAAAAAGAATTCATTCAACGCTATTTGGATTAAAAGATTTCCATGTGAAGTGTAATAACCACTGACTCAAAGACACACACAAAGTAATCCTGTAATTTGGATATCTGAAGCAATGATAGAACCTCAATTGTCATATATCAGAACCGCACATATGCCTGGATCAGATTGATACTTGAGTTCTAGATAGAATCAAGTTATAAAACATCGTACATATGAACATTTCTACATGTAGTTACAACTTTTCCAAGAGGGGATTTGGATTATAGCGAAATGTAAAGTTAATTTAAAGAGCTGTCTCTGTGTTTATATTAATTCATTGATTTCAATTTGTTTTGTAACAAACTTTTAGTAAATACATGTATACATATGTGAGTCGTTACTTCGTAGTTTAAAAGTCATCATAAAAATAACCATCGTCATCGTTAAACCCCAAACCATAGCGAAACTTAATCCAAACTATTGAAATGTGTGTATGAGTCCTAACAGACCTTAGAAAGAGTCTCTTTCTAAGGTCTATGCATAAACCCAAGCCTAATGCTAATTTTTCCCCAAACCATATACCCAAACATAGTAATGGAAATTATTGCAGTCGTCACGATTGAATTGCCCCCCCCCCACCATGACGGGAAAATTACGCAACTCTTATAGTACATCAATGTCGTATTCTGTAACCAAATATGTTGTATTGTTATCAAAATATAGCCATGAGAAATAAAAGTGAACGCGAGACCGCGTTACAAAATCAATAATTTTCATTTTCTCATTTCGTTTACATATACAGGCCTATGTTGTTGAATTAATGCTCCCTGACCGTTAATGTCAACAGCTCGCTGTTGAACAATTATGCCAGGAAATAGTGTGTCTCAGGCTCCCCAACAAAATATTGGTTCAAGGTAAAAGTTTGGCAAACACAATTGCGGCGCTTCAGCAATGAGCTAGAGATTTCAGATTTCCCAAGTAGGAATTATTTTTCGGAAGAAAACTGTCAAAAAATAACATTATTGAAACAATTTTTATATGAATATATTTCATAAAAACGATAGTGTTAATCGGAATTACACAATAATACGTTAGTTTATTTTGTGTTAACGCTGTCGATTCACTAGACTGGCCACAGTCGGGCGATTTTTTCAAACATAGGTGTAATTTTTAATTAAAATAAATGTGTTCCCCACTCGCCGCTAGTTTTCGCGATCACGCTAAATGGGCCAAATTGACAATTAATTATATTTATTTTTGTAAAACATAAAAGAAGTCCCGACTTTGCCAGTCTATCGATTCATCGAAATCGACAGTGTAGTGCAACGCGCAATACCGCCCTCAATATTTTCTAATTTGCATATGACAGCGAACGTTGAATGGCGAGTGTACTGTCGTGCTTGTCACCCTTGTCACCTATTAAGAACATACACTTTCTCCGTCCATCACGTAAAGTGTTATTGTCTGCACAACATGAGGTAACCAACGTATTATACAATGGACATATTCGGTGACAGTCACATTACGCGCTAAGACAAGACGAAGACGGATAGTACGTATATTTACTCTCGGTTTTTCCCACAAGACTCTCGCAGATATCAATAGCAAAATCTAAAAGGTGAGTAAACGTAAACAAACAAATTCTACCGTCGTACTACTATACAAAGCTTTGTAGTTATACGCAAGTGCTTTTATAGTATACGGGCAATCGTACTACGCGATATTTGCAACCTTTCCTCATAGATCGTCGGGTTACAGTCTATCTGCTGGAGATCCGTGGTTTCGTTTAGGAAACTCCTAGTCTTATGATACTGCTCTGTGTTGACTGGGGCATGGAACTAAAAAAGATCCATGTTTGGGGCGAAAGAATGGACAGTGTCCTTAGGGGGCCACCTGTCCTTATTATGACACTAAAGACGAACTCAGACACCGTCGTCCGACGATAATTCTTGAATAATGATCGTCCGGTAATAGCAGAAAACCCGACGCGTTATCCGAGACTGCCGTCTCATATTGAAAAGACTTGTTGTTAAGGTGTTTAAGTCACGTGAACATTTATATAGACAAACGCAAATAATGTGGCTGTGATTTGGCTCGAAGTATAGCCACTGTACTCTATAGTCGGAACAATTCACGAAGTCGGAAAGTCTCATGTCAGATTGACATTTATTGAACTTTGAAAGGAAACATCAACA